TAAGCTTAATAGCAGTGTTTGACAACGCTGATATCGCAACAGACCCAATGCATGACTAGGGTACAGTAACACAAATAATGAGTACTAATAGGAGTATTCTTTGGCAAGCCTATACCCACCCCATTTTTTTTATTATAATGTAGGCAAGAAGTTTGATCCTAACCCACCCCCCACCCCCCCCCCCCCCCCCAACCCACCCCCGAAAGGATTTTCGAGTTTGTACGAAATGGACACATTTTCCTTTTTTTTTTTAGCTTGTCTAACTTTTTTAGGGTTTGAAATTTACCATAGGGCTAAAAGGGGTAAAGTTGTTCCCATTTAAATATGATTCTTTTAATATAAAAAGAACATTTTCCTTAAAGTCCTACCTAACAAGGTATAGGGAGTATTATTTCATATAAAGAAAAAAAGGATAAGATTTACAGGTGCCTATGTGTTTTTAGCTACAGTAAGTTATTAAAACATCTATTCAAGATCAAACAGTTTGATCATATTGGCAGTAGATCTTGCATATAAAATAATTACTAATGTTTGTTCTTCAAAGCTGCTGAACATGATGATCAGCGATTATGATTTTGCTTTTTGTAGTTGTGATTGATTACATTGAAAATAAATATTTTAAAAAGACATTAAATATACCATACATGTACATCTAAAACAGTGCTCACCAATATAAGCTCACTATAGAAAAGGAAAAGTCTAAAATTAAATGTAACAATGATTTTAATAATTATATTTCATTACAGTCACATTATATTATTTAATATTTATATTGATGTAGTTTGTCTTTGAGTTATGATATACAAAAGTTAATTATAATCACATTCTGGATATACACAGTATAGTTGAAAAAATTGAAGTTGAATTAAATCATTGAAATCCAGTCATGTGCAACTCAGCTGTGCATACATGGGACACACCACTTGGCACTTGTTGATTTAATCCTCTGCAGGTTTGTGATCAATCTTTGTTCTTTCACATTTAACTCATCAAACCAGGTGGTACATGGAATGAGCATGTTCTAAAATATTTTCCAGTGTTTGGTGTGCAAGGCAGACCCATATTCTCATTTGAGACACGGACAGGTTATCTACAAAACCTATGGGGAAAAATGAAAAAAAAAATCTCTTAGAAAATCTTTTCAACACTGACAATGTTGTAATCCTGAATTAACACGATTACATAAATTACAGAAATCCAACTTTTAAAAAATACATAATTATGAAGATCATTCACGGGAACATTTAGTCTCACTTTATTAAGTTGTTGATCTATAACCTGTAAATGGTACAGGTGCTTGAGGACAGACCCCCCCCCCCCAATATAGACCCCCGGGCCTGTTAGACTTTTTCACATAAATATAGACCCCAGGGCCTATATTCTATATACTTTATAGACTTTTTCACTTAAATTATATATGGATGACACATTTGTGATAAAATCTATCCTATCAATATTAAGAAAATTTGATTATAAACTAACATTCTATAAAAATTTTACCCCACCCTCGTTGATTTTTATATAGAGTGTAGGGTAGATTCTAAAGAACGTTTGCTTTAGGAAATTTTCTAATTTTTTGTACAGATCTTATCACAAACAATGAAAGATTATTTATGAGAAAAAAGCCAAGGGGTCTATATTGAAAAAGGGTGTCCCATCCTCAAGCACTTATGGTAAACGGCACTTCACAATGTATTTATTATTTATATCAATTCAGCGAAGATCTAGAATTGGTCGTTGTTCAAATATTGGTAGATAAATTGTGTCCTTATTTTGTAAAATAATTAAGAAGATAAACATGTACTACCGTAAAATATAATCGACAGCATTCAAGAGATGTCACGTCGTAGTCAGCTGATGTCTGCAGTTAAAACGTTTCCATCGACTCCAGAGCGTAAAGTTATAACTTCCGAAGTAGTAAATCGAGATCATTTCGTCGAAGACAGCTTAGATGAGTGATTGATTTTTCTAATTTCTTGTTATTTTCTTAAAGAATGCAGAAATCCGTGATGTGACAACATTGATTTCATTACAGGAAGTCTGTTTCTATACATCCCGGTGAGGGCGCTGCAAGCGCATGAAGATAGTGATTGTGACGTCATAAGTCGGCGGTCCCTTCGTTTTAGGTCTATGGTTACACTTGATAACAACCTCGTGGTAGAAATTTATAGGCCTAATCATTAGGTATAATGAAAATGAACTTCATGTCAAAGATGTATACAACATGAGAAGATTTAGCAAAATGGCTGTAAATAAGCTGTAAATAAGCTGCAGAGGTTCCCTCATTATTTAAAAAAACTTTCACAGAATCTTTATTACATATTGCCATTGTGCCATTGTGCACATACTATTTTACTTTTGATCCAACACATATTTTGGGTTTCCACAGCAAAACATGGACACTGCCATTATGCCATATGGGAGGCGGGAGTGTCATTAAGTGAGCTCATACCTCTAGTTTGTTACAGGAAAGGGGACAATGTATGGCTGGACGTGTGGAATCAAACCCGGGACCCCTACATCACAAGTCAGGTGCTTTACTCACTGAGCTCTCCTGGCTGATATCCATGGCCTAAACAATCACAGATTCGATCGGTAAACTATATCTATATGAGGCTTATATATTTCAGAGTGTACGAATGTCTTGGTAACCCTAAACATTTCCTGGCATTGTGTGTCATACGGTATGCCGTAATACAGTGAACATCAATTGCAAGTTTCTTTGACTAAGTAACAACAAGTCCGATCTTCAACAACTGTGTAGCCTTGATGACACTACAGAGTGGATCGACCCAGCTTATCCAACTTCTTGCTTCTCACCAAAATGCACCACCATTGGTAGGAAGCGGAGGGCCATCTCATAGAATGATATTAAAATATTAAATGTAAATTTTCAGAATGTCAAAAACAAAAAGGCTGAACAAGAAACCGGATTGAAACAATTCAAGCATACCTTAGTAGGAACAGAAACTTGGATTAACCCAAAAATGCAAAGCTCAAAAATAAAGTTATTTACTAAAAACAAAACCTACAACACATATAGAAGAGATAGATCTGATGACCATAGAGATGTTCTTTTAGTTGTAAGATCAGCAATAAATAGGTTAACAGCAAAGGGAAGAGACATAGAAAGTCTATTTTCCAACCTGTCATTTAGAGATCAAACTCCACTTCTTGTTGGTGCACTCAACAGACCGCCAAGCTCTTCACTTGAGCATATGGAGGAAATCTGCAACCAATTAGAAAAATCGGTGTTATAATTTGAAGGATATTTCAACCTACTCGACATAGATTGGCCAATACAGTCTAAAAAATAGAAATCACTGCTAATCCGCTATAAAGCAACGTTTCATGCAGTGCATACTCGACTGTAGTTTACAACAAATGGCTTACTTTCCAACACGCCAAAGTCATCAACTCTGGACCTCTTCTTGACAAAATGGCCATAGTTTGTAAGTCGAAGTGACGCTGTCCCATGGTCTAGTAGACTATATCATTACACCGTTCACATCATATCGAGTGTCTCTCATAAAGGAGTAAAATCTACTTATGGAAAAGGACTGACCTTGTTTCAGTCTGTATATAAAATTGAGAGAATTCTGTGATACGTTTGATCATGTAAGCTTTTGTAGCTCAGTACTGGGGATGTGGAATTTTATGAAAATCAGTCTTCTTACCACCCAGGAGGATTTCATTCCCTCCAAACCTCCACCAGATAAAGTCAACTATACAGTAAAGAAGATTACCAGACACAGAAGAACACAAGCTTCAAAAGGGTTAGAAAGACAGGGAAAAGGGATATGGGATAAAAATCAGAGACTAAAGAAAGAAGCTAGAACACCTGTCAGAGTGCCTATACATGTAATGAGTATACCAGGAACATCATCAGCCCTCATACATCCACAAACCCAATGCGTTCAAGAATCATCAGGAGTTTACCACTTGAGAATAAGCGTGGTGTGCATCGAAGTTAAGTGTGAATTAAAGATCTGCAAGTGAAACCTGATTGTTAATGCTGATTAGTGTGTAACGTCACATCATCAAATTCAGCAGGATTCAACAAGTACGAAGATAACAGTTAGCCATTTGTTTGACAGTAGGTCCCACACTACTGAAAATAATGAAACAGGTGCAATTAATGTAGCATTTACCTTTCTCCAATCCTCGGGTTATTTTGAGGTGATTAAAAAATAGAAAGTATATAGTTATGTTTACAGTTGATTCATAGATATTCATTCTCTTGAAATAATGCTTTATTCCGTAGGCATTTACAGTTTTCGGCAAAATAAATTCATATATTGAGATACTGGTAAAAAAAAATTATCCCTTTTACAACGCAAGATCTTTCACAACTAAGCTGGTCCAACTGACAATGTTGAATGTAGACTAAAATCTCTATACTTGAAGGGACACTTTATATCTATAAAACCAGGTCACCGTGTATATCCCACTTTGTTGTGCACGGAGTATAGGTTTTCGAATCGATATAAAGGGGACCAAAGTATGAATCCTAAACAAAGATACTCTGCCTATTAAATTCAGCTACAGATGCATATCTGTAGTATGCTGAGTCAATGGGATTTTCATAGATTTAACATTTGTAATTCAACAATTAATTTAAAAAAATGATTTATGTAATTATTGTTAAGTACTTTTTTCATTCCAGTAAGAGCAAAACAAGAAGGTGAAAGAAAAATGGATATTGCCTTTGTTGCGTATGTAATAAAATGTTAAATCAAGTACAAATCTTTTTTTCTTCGAAGTTATAATGAAATGAAGCTATAAAAGGAAATCAGGTATTGGTAACAAGTCTTAAGAATATTTTTCCTTAAAAAATGCAAACGAAATCTTTACTCTTATTTTATTTTAAAACATGACTTAGGAAAAATCATTATCAAACATCGGTGATGAGAAGCCTAACGATAAAAATATTTACTCCGCATTGTATATATAAAGAGATTATTTCAATTTGTTAGTAATTTCTTTCTTGACAGAAACTTTCCATGTGCCTCATTGTCTTTTAATTTGACTGCTCACAATAATGCATTACTTCTGGATATGGAAGAGTTAAAAGTATGCCTCTCCACTAACATTAAGATCGAGGAAAGAGAAGAGAAAGGTATAGTCTTAAAGATGTATACTTGTTTGTGTAACAGCTAGAAGGGGAGAAAATGTATGGCTTGACCGGAAATGGAACCCTGGACCCTAGCATTACTCTACTGACTGGACTTCCCAGATCTATATTTTTTTTTAAAGATGCAGATAATAGATAGAGAATATGATTTAAAGAATTTCCTTTAAAATGAAATGAAATGATTTAGCATGCACATTTATTAAACATGATGGACATAATTATTACACGGAGACTTATAGAAACATAACAAAAGTAACATTTGATCATTATGAGGAGATAAATCACACTTAATTAACACATCGTGAAATGGTGTTTAAATTTTATAAGATTTTTTATTGTTTGGTAATTTTTCTTATACATATTATTAGTTTTATTTCCTTCCTCTTGCTTTTTGTAGAAAAATGCACTGAGGTAAAGACGAAGAAAATCTTATCAATAGCAAAGATCAAGTTATGTCCCTTTTCTTTAGTACAATAATCATTCTCCAAAATAAGTTAATTTTACTTATTATGATTACTTCTAATCCAAAATTAACATTTTTTGCATTCTAAAGTTTATTCCTAACAAAACAATCTAATTTCATACAACTATAATGTAGTTTGATGTTCGAATTGTAAATGTAATGGGAGTTTTGGTTTAAATGAGTTTTGTAACGATACATTTTTTTTCCTATAAGAATTATAAACACACAGTAAAACTATATTTTAAATTGAAATGTTCCCACAAAAATATGGAAATAATAACAGCTTGCTCATATTTTATTTTTTTCTTTCTTCAGGAGAAGTATGTAATGTAACATATTTTGAAACTGGGCAGAAGGATACTTTGGATTATTCAGTCATCAAATATAGCTTTGAGTTTAGATACTTGGGAAGGACTAAGTTGGTAGAGGTAAGTTGTTTTGTTGCTTAAGACCTGACCTAAAGACTTAATTAAATTATGTAGCTTTTCTGATCAAGAAGAATCCATCATCCATCTTTCATGTATCAAATGTTGTGTATTGACTTTTTTGACTGTAACTTTATTTTAGAGAATCTAGACTGAAATGTGTCTGTCCATTGATTTTATATTTTAAAAAGCGACCATAATGACCCCCTTGGATAAAAAATATACATAAAGTTTATATTAAATCTTATATTTATGCATTCAATTTCGTACTTTTAAAAATAATAGAGAAGCAAAATTCCAAACAAAGAAAATGTTTCTCTTATTCATATATAAAGATATGACTTTAATACACTATATTAACAATGTATTTTTTGTGTATTTATTTTTTTTGGGGGGGGGTATTTTTTAAAATTTTTTTTTTTAGAAAGAAAAAAAAAATTTAGTAATTTTACCAAAAAATCCATACAATTAAATTTGGTACAATGATTTGACTGTGTAATTTACAGAAAGTTGGTCTGTATTAATTTTGTATTAAATTTGAACTCAGTAATTTAACAGAGATTGCTTTTTCAGAAATATGGTCTGTATTTTTAAAGTAAATTCGAACTTTATACAATTACAGAAAATTCGATACAGTTAGTCAGCCTTTTTTATTTGAGTTGGAATTAATATTTTCCTTTTACATATTTTAAATACTGAAAATTCTTCTAATGAACTTACTTGTATGAAATACAGAAATTCCATGCAAAACGTCTGCTTGATTATACCCTAACAAGAAGACTACATGTATAGCTAACTAATTAAAAGTGATAACATTGACACCATGGAAACTTTGTTTTACTATACATGTAATAAAGATAACGTTGACACTTTGATACTACAGTGAAAACCGTGAAAACTTCAATAGATTAATATAGTGATCACTATGAAAACTTTGATTTACTATTGTGATAACTTCGAAAACATTGATTTACTATAATAGTGATAACTATAACACTATAGTGGTCACTTTGAAAACTTTGCTTTATTTTAGTGAGTTTACCATTTTAATTTACTTTAATTAGCTATAATAGTATTGGGGGGGGGGGGGTATTTATAGTGCACAATTTTAGTTAGAACATTTCGTTGACTTAAAAATGTTATTTATTCATTAAAAACTTAGTATTGGTTAGGAGGTCATTAATTTATTTAGAACTTAAACTTATGTAGTTCCAATCAATAATCACTGGTAACATAAAGAAATACTTTTCTTCATACTTGTGTTGAATCAAGCGTGTTTACAACTTGTACGTATTTACAACTTTAGCGTTTCAGCTGGCCTTGCATGCTTCATATATATTACTATACATAGAAATCAGGTGGTTTACCTGTGTTTATGTAAATGGAAAATTCCAACAACTACTGTATATCCAGGTCAATCAATATGCGCTATTTTTAAGCTACTGGAGTATTCGGCTGTAAAGAACTGTATTCAAATTATTTTAAAAGAACTTAATGTAATGATCTTAGAATGCTCCGTTTTAGAAAGAGTTGTGAAACCACCAAGCCTAGTACTATACATACTTGTATATTGACATGTACGATACTTTTTTAGAAAATATGTCATTCTCTTTATAGATATCTAAAAATGTCTGAAATAAAATGTTAAGCATTTATACTTTACCTTGACTTTAAAACCATGGTATCGTTTATGTTGTCCATGCTACAGAGGTTTGTATATAATTCCGCGCGTGTTGATCCTTATTTGTGAATTTGAGGTTTCTCTCACGGGGTCAATTTGTATATAAAGAAAACAAGACGACTGACCTGAATTGTTTCTGTTTTGTAATCGGAAATTTCCATTAGAAAAGAGGGAATGATATTAAGACTCTAAAAAAATTTTAATTTTAGATCTCGTAAATACATTTTCTGAAACTGTTAAATATAATTGCTATTTAAACATCGGAAGTATGAGCATATATAGGACGCTATATGATTAGTCATAATTTAAAAATCTCCCTTCCTGGACTCTGATTGGTTAAGTTTGAATAACATTTTACGTTGAGCGCCATTTTGAAATATGTATTTAGATAGCCAGGATTATTTGTAATATTAAGCTGTAGCTAGAAAATAGTTGTGTAAAATGGGTCGAATAATAGATATTCAGCTTCAGCTTGTTATCCTGGATCACATTTATGAACAAGGAAAGGTGCAAACGAAAGGAGGCTGGAGTTTTTCAAGCACCATGATCTGGCTTTCCTGGTGTAAACAAGATCTTGTTGTTATAGTATGGTTATTTTTATCTTTTTATTTAAGAAAAAAAAATATATGTAAAGTGTTTTTGTGCAAATATTGTTAACGTTTTGATTATATAATTGACTTATTCTTACTTGGCAAATAAGCTGAAATGCAACATATATAAAAAGTAGTATTTGGCATTTTTATCGTATATGACTTCCTCTGCTTCCAGCGAAAAATAATATACATGCAATGTTCATTAAAAGCTTGTTTCTTCCATCTGTATGCCAATAACAACGAGAGGAGGAGGGGTTAGCCCTGATAATCATTTTTAATCTGTAACTCTTCCTATACAATGTACTACCAAAAAAGAAAAATTATCAATTCTTTCACCATATATTTATCTCATCTAAACCAGATTTCAGATAGTAAAGATATCTCGATTCAATTTTGCTGAAATCGTGACCCTCGAGGTAGAATGGGGTCTCAATTGGGAGGGGGGATTTCACATAAATAAATATAGGGGAAAGTTGGAAATCTTCACAAGAATAAGAAAGGCATGATTAATCATTTTGAAATGAAAGTATCTTAAGAATGTTGATTTAATATTGATAAAACATGACCCTTGGGGAGGATTTGGCCATAAGTTTTTAAATAGGAATTAAGATATAGAAAAAATAGAAAAGAAAAAGAACAAAACAGTAAGAGCAGAGAAAGCATGGACTTTAAGAGAATTAATGGGTAAAAAATAAGTTGAAAACGCTGTAATTTTATACGAATTCAACATTTTTTCTCCGGATAACCATGGTTTAGCAATGTCCTTAAATAATTCTTCTTCATTATCACTTACTTGCTCTAAAATACAATTCAACACTGAACTATCCATGAGGAAAATAATATAAAGGAATCATATGAATCTAAATGATCTTTTTTTCAATCTTTAGCACAAGGTCTGGGATGGCTTCTCTCAATTTAGGACTTTGAAACCTGACAACTGTAAAAGCAATGAAAGCCACTTGTCCAGTGTTTTCAGACTAGAAATAGAGGGAATAATTCAAAAGAAAGGTAGGTGTACATGTTGTATATTAACTAAATAGAGAGATTTAGTCACAAGTGACTTAACGAGTACGCGAAACTTTGACGTACACGGTCTATTTGACGTCAACGTCAATAATATAATTTAGTTATACGAACACGTGTACGAATGCAAATTTCATGATTGGAAAGCACAGTAAATTAATTGAACGGCATTACAATTATTATTTTTAATTTAGACAAGTCAAAGGTGGTATTTATACTTATTCTAGTCATATATATCATAAACAATGAAATATGTTGTATGTATTAGCATCTTACTGCAGTGAAGCGCACTGAATATTTTTTTCTAGTTTATCTAAAGGACAAGCTTTTAATTCTGCATCACATCAAAATGGAAGGAGTAATAAAGATACTAGATTGACGACAAACACCTTTTGCACTTTGCGGAGGAGGGGACATCCTAACAGAAAACCTTTTGAAAACGATAAAATATAAGGGCTCAATCCTTATAAAGTTATAATATTATGTATTGGATATATGCCGAATGCAGTTAAATAATATCAGACAGTTTGAGGCCCGTTAGGATTAATATTTAATACATCAATACATTGTTAAACGCAAAATACAGATCAGACAACGCCTTTTTTTCAAATACGCGTTTGCTCTTGATTTTTACATCTGCTAGTATCAAAGGGGAAAAATAATTTATGAAATACAATTTCCTCAAGCACTTGACGTTACACATACTGCCAGGCTAGGGGCTTATATTTTTGTTATATGTCACTAGTGCATGTGGATGTTATTTTTTTATTATTATTTATAGGACATGTTCAGCAACTTGTAAATAATTTGCCTCGTTTTATAAACTGCTGAAGCGTAGAGCATCCTCTTGCGTATAGAATCAGTCATGACCCTCAAGGGTATGATGGAGCAACGATTGACAATCAAAGTTTTTCAAAGAAATAAATTAGAAAACTCTTTAAAAAACTGTTCTCCTCATGGAGAAAAAAACATCTTGGTCATAGTCGGGAGAATGGAAAATTATGACCACATAAATAGCAAAAAATAAACTTAATAGTTTATTTTTTACTTTGAACTTGTCCTTGTTATAGGATCTCCTCCAACTTTGGTTGTTTGGAGGTTGGATGAATACAAAGACTCTCTCAGTGTAAAAAATTTGCAGGAGCACTGGAGACTCCCTTCTCCAAGGCTACTTTTCCTGTTGGTCCATATTTTGACCAATACCGGCTTTTTAGCTTGACAAGAAAGAAAAACTATTGGCTGGCAAATCAATTGCATTTGCAACTAAGTTTGTTGTTAATAAAATAGCATACACCTAAATTTTAGACGTCATGTAGAGGTTTGCCAGTAGATTTTAAGGCCACTTGCTGAAACTCAAGACTACTGCTGGTGCCATGTGTGACTTAGTGTGATTCTAGTTAAACTTATATGTATGTAATATTAACATATTGTGTTCATTTCAGAATACTTGGGTCAAAAAAGGCTTTTGACGCTGAAAGTAGAGGTGATTGTGACTTCTAAGTTCTCAAGGCATTTACTTCCTAAACAGTTGATGCCATATGGTAAGAAGAAATAGATACTTTTCCCAAATATGCAATTTGATAAAAACACGTTTGATGTACACCGGCCATTGAGTAAATTTGCAAGATTCAAGTTCCTCGTGACCAGGACTATTTCCTGAGGTACGATAAATCCTCAATGATATACTTGCATACTGTTTTATTGCACGGATATAAAAGTTTAAAAAAGAGGATTATGGAGACTACGAGTCAGCTTTCAGAGCAACGATTAGCTCACTTGATTAACGCACTGGAATGAAAGATTTTTTTCGTTATCTCCCTATGTTTTCCTAGCTGCAGATCTGTAGCGTTATGGTTTTATATCTTTTTCTTTGACCATAACGCTACAGATCCCTTAATGCAAAAAAAGGTGCAATTTACGGTGCAATTTTTTTTCGCACTTTTTGGGAGAATTTCTTGTTTCCAGCATCGGTCGACTAACTACCTTTCATGCCCTACTTCTAGGCACTTTATTTAACTAATCTATATATTCTATCCATATCCCAACCCTTTATAGTCGTCTCTACAAGTGATAAACTCGCTTCATTAAAAGTCTGGGTTAGATAGCTGAAAATTCACTTCAATCGAATTTATTGCCTTAGAAACAAAAATTATTGGTTGGAAAGTGGATAAAATAGAAATAATGGCTACAGAACGTGTCTAGAATCAGGAATTGAAAGATAGTTTATTGACCAATGCTAGAAAGTGGAGAAAATCTCCGTAAAAGTGCGCTAAAAATATTGCGCCATAAATTTCACTTTTTTGCATTACGAGATCTGTAGCGTTATGGTCGACAGATATATATAAAACCATAACGCTACAGCTCTGCAGCAACGTTTACCTTGACATATTATACCAATAAAAACATCTAGAGGATTAAGGATAACTGGGAATTCAAATGCATGAACTTTTTTTAGCAATGCCTAGGAAATTACTAGTATTCTGATTAAAGATATAAGTTTTATATTGTCAATTGTAGAAAAATTAATAGAGGTATAATGACTGGTTGTTAAGTGCATATATTTTTAAGTGGGTTATCATATAAAGAACTGCATTTTTGTTTCATTGTGGAATAGAAAAAATAATGTAGGTAAAACAAAAATTAAAACATCCTAGCTACACGAGCAGAAGAACAGCAATATAAGATTCATTTTATAACAATTGTATTGAATTCCACAAAAGGCACAACTTTTGGAATCTTTTAAAAAAGACACAACAAAGTCCTTCTGCAAATTTACATAAATGTATTATTGCGTTCTTATGAGTTTCAAATAAAACGATGTTTTTATCTCATCTGAGCCAAAGGCTCAAGTAATTTTTTTGCTCACATTTTTTCCCGTATCTGTCTGTAAGTTTTCTAAAATTTTTTTGCTGGTTTATTTACTAATATTGAAATAAAATTGATTGAAAATTGAATAAAGACATTTTTGGAAAATCAGCAAGGATGAATTAATCATAATTTTCAAACCCTTTTAATTTAAAGAGCCTCTATCAGATGAATGGAATTCATCTCCACAATTTGCTGACGAAATCTTCAACAATAAGGATGGGGACATAATGACTGGCATAAATTTAGAAGAATCAGGATGCTTTGAGCTTGTAGACCCTCTAACAACTGCAGTGTCTACATCTCCACAATCTACTGAAGAACCCCTCAACAAAAAACTGCCAGAGGATGAGGATGCAATGAATGGCAATCCGGTAAAAGAAGCAATTGGGGGTTTTATGGAAAAAGGATTGGGAACATTGAACACAGGCAAAACATCAGATACGTGTAAAGGTACATTTTATTTAGTGCTTGGTTTTTTTTTAATTAGTAGTTTTGCTTACTTTTAAATGAAACATGTAATAATGACTGTGTTTAAATAGATATGAAGGTTTGATGCTGTCCATATATTTGTCTTTAGACTTGCCACTGTGTTGATTTTGACAAAACTTTTGACTTTTAAATACAAAAATGAATGGTAAAGGTGTCTCACCAAGTGGAGAGCTGCAAATTATTTCCTATACTCTGGAAATTAGGGCCATAAATCAGTGAGAGTCTTTTGCATATCATATTTCGTAGATTTAAGGTTAAGATTGCTCTTTAAAATCAGTCGAAAAAATGTTTATACGTTTGATTTTTTATGTAGAGTTCCTCACGAAGAATGGAGAGAAAAATGAAAATACGTCAGAAAAATCATGCAAAGCAGCAGAGTCTTATGAAGATTTTCCATTCTTCCACCACAAATTAATTTGGCTAGTATTACAGTTTCTAATAGCTGTAATTGTCAAAATCATCATTGGATATTTTTCCTTAATGACGCATTCAATGCTACATGCATTAGTACCTATCGTTTTGATGGTCTCCAGGTCATATGGAGTAAGTACTTTAAGATTCCAAATATTTTTTTTATTGTGTGTTACCATGAAGATGCAATGTGTATGGCGCATGAAAAGTATTTTAGAAGGAGTCACTTGACCCTGTCTATATCAGTTAACTGTTAGTAAGACCTCAAAGTTATTTACCCTGAAGTATTTTCATGTACATCCCTAGTAGGACCAATTTCCTACCCTTATTGTCCACTAAGTACATAATAATAGTCCGATATCGATATTAAAAGAGAGCATTTAATAGTAGAAAATGATTGTCTACGGGAAAGTTTCAAAAATTTAATTTTTAAGCAAAAGTTCATTAATAAAGATTCCATTGAAATCTATAGAGGAAAGGAGATTCTTTTAAAAATAATAATTCAGTAATAGGAATAGCATTACTGCTGTGGAAAGATGCATTGAAACATGAAAAATAAAATGACAATTGAACACAAAACTATTTATCATAATATTAGTTTTTGATTTTTGTTAAATAATTAATAATAGAAGGAGATGATTTTTGGCAAAGTTCAAGGTCATGAATTAGGACACATTCCACCCTTAAATGCAAATAGTAATAAATTGAAATTATGTCTAAATGTACCTAGCATTTAGCACCTACATATCTGTTACTTATTCATTTTTTATGAATCTGTTGCCATTAGACATTGAATACCTTAAATGTACGCTGAGGAAAGAGAGCAGGTATTGTTTTGATCAAATTACATTTGTACAAACACTTTAGGCCAAACTGAAGAGAATTATATGAAGTTTTGCGTATTCAAATTAATGAAGCATTTTCAAAAGTTCAATTATGAAGAAATGGATTGCAATTCTTACCTGTAAACAAGCTTTTCACCTGCTTAGTATTACGAGTCCGTACGAATCGTTGATTGGTGTTCCGAAAATATGTTAATTTAGATTCAGTGCAATTCGGACTATTCGAAAAAAGATTCTTGAATTATTAATTTCTACTGCAAAGTAAATGTTAAAAATGTATATTAAATTAGATATAGTTTTTGCAGTTTTTAGATCATCTGAACTGATAGTTCAAGTGATCTTTTCTGATTACCTGTTGTACAAGTACATGCTGTTCATTATCCTCCCGTCTGTAAACTTTCAACAATTTTAACCAAACTTAGTATACAACATACTATGGCGAAGTGGATTTGACATGTATATAAATTGTAAAAATGAAGGACTGAGTGCCTTGAAAAAGGGTATTTGACAGAAAAAATGGAGTGCTGACAGTAAAAGGAAAATTCTCTCAAGAACCAAGCTAAAACTAATTAGGGGTACTGAAAATTCTAAATTGTTCAAATCAGGACTCCAGTGGGAAAGGTGATGCCTGTGGCATGGTAGGGAATCCAAGTTTAACACTGAATTATAAAGGAGAAATCTTTAAAACTATTATTCAATAACCAGTTGAAAAGTTGAAAATATGTCGAAGCATCCTTGGAAGTATGAATTTGAAATTGCTCTTCTTGGCAATCTTCTTTTAACATTTTTTTTTCACTCATCAGAGTGATCAGATGAAAATCTTAAAGGAATTGACTTTGCCTGCTCAGTAATTTTTCAAAATACTTTTTAGCTCAGGTGAGATCTTCATTTTGAATTTTATCTGACTTTAATGCTGGCATGTCTTATAAACAATATGCATTCGGTCATCCTCTAACTCATATTCTACAGAAAAGCCTTCATTAACAGCTTTTTTTCACTTATTTTTCTAATATTGAAAAAGACGGAACAATTAAATCATATTTAATCAGCACCATACTATTGTCACTGTAATTTTCTTTAAAGTTTACATTAGATATAAAGATGTAAGGTTTTAGGGAAAAAAACGGAACAATTATTTAATATTAAGAATCAAATTTAATCAGCACCATACTTTCGATACTTCAAACTTTCTGTTAAGGTCATATTAGATAAAGATGTAACATTATGGCAGAACCCCGGATCAGTTATTTAATATTGAGAATTTTTAATCAGCGCCATATAATTGATACTTTAAGCTTTCGTTAAAGGTTTCATTAGGTAAATATGTAACATTATGTAACATAATTCTGAGTGAAACTGATTCCCACATAAATGACGCAAGATTTGAAAAAAATTAATATAAATTTACAAGACCAACATGATTATTTGGATATTTATCAACAGTATCATAAGAAAAAGATTGAGTTAGAGTATATTTTAAAAAAAAATAAAATACATTCTTAAGCCACTAATATCCAAGATAAAATATATATATCCTGAATAAAAATTGAACGTTGAATTTATGGACTTTCTATAAAATAATTTTGGACAATAGTAACTTATTTTATTTTAAGTTAATTTTTCATAGGAGCTGTGTATACCAGAGGCTACACTTGAAGTTGGAAATATTACTCCTCTCAAACCTTGTGAAACGTGTGATTTCCACAAACTCAACTGCCAAGGCAATAATATATCCGCGTGCTTGAAAATTTTCCCCACTACACAGTTTGCAGTAGGATGTGCTCCAAATATCTGCATAAATGGTTAGTAATATTCATTTAAAACTCGCCGGGTGGTGCACTTTTCTTAAACTCACCTGATCAAAGCTTTTACGATGTTTTTTTTATTTGACTTTGCCATCTATCTCTCTAGCTGTCTATTCGTCTGTTGACGTTTTGCAATTTTGACTACTGTAGAACCACTGGACCATGTCACAAAGCATGTTTTTTTTTTCAAATGAGTCATACCCTCATGTTTTGAGAAATAATCAAGAAGAGGCAAATCATGGAGGGTGGTGTTTTCAACATTCTGTTTAATACATGTAACATCTAAACTTGTTCAGAAAAAAATATATGAAAGCTTCTGATGAAGTAGATATTCATGTTTGCTCAAAATAAGACCCTTGGGGGTATAGTGGGACCACAAACAATAAGTTTAATGTTGAAAATTGGTAAAATATGTAAATAAGAATTACCGAGAACAACAGGACTTGTATAAATCAAATTATATGCAAGTATCTTAAGTATTGGTAGTGCAAATTCAAGTTCATTCTTTTTCATTTTTGGCCCCAAGGGATAGGATAAGGTCGCAATAGAAGATTGAAGTTTAAATGGGAACTTTGAGAGAAAATTCTTCAAAAACAGCATGACTGTGATATATCATACTAGTAAATATGTAAATAACCTCAGGTAGTTAAGATTAAAATCATTTATCATAAGCTTAGGGGAAGGATGGGCCACAGGAGAAACTTTCAACTTTTACATGAAAAAATGGACAATTTTAAGATTTTCTGAAGAACAGCTTCAGTTAAGATATTGTACATATCAAGACTTGAGATGGGGTATAAAATGAATGAGAATAAAGCGGTGATAAATGCTAGTCTAGCTGTTAGAATTTTCTTGTGATGAGTAGCTAGACCGATGAGCACTGGAGCCCATTTTTTGTCCTTCAAAATACCTAAAGTGATGTTAAAATTTGTAGCTAAACAAATAAAATTAACATGAATTGACAAGTTAAATACCGATTCCGACATTTTAATCCCCGAGGAGATATTGACTTCTAAATATTTATTTCTTTTTATACTGTTTATAGATATCAAGAAGAAAAATATACTTTAAATTGATTACACTTAGTTCTAGGTCTGTTTTAATTAAACATATACTGCACAAAAATGTTTATAATGAAAGTGACCTGTAGAAAGAATAACTCTTGGTAGAATTGAACCTTTACGAGAAATTTAAACCAAAATTGGGGAATATTGATATGTAACTATATATACATTAAATAATGTCTCTCGATTACGATTCGTAACTAAAGAAAATAATACATACCCTTTTCCTTATCACATTAACTCTCTTTCAATCCAAGTATTTTATTTATCGGTATATAATATTCATTGGAAAAATAATACGTGACTATTCTTTTTTTCCCCTTTTTTCCTGTATCAGATCTGAAATCTGATAAAGCATTTGTCCCGACTTTTGATGTCTATATTTTTGCACAATAATAAACTATTTATAAAATTACACATGTATTTTCTTGCGATGGCATTGTGATATAAACAATATAAATAAATTCATTACATTTTTTCTATTTAAGTTTTGATGACATTTTCAAAAATTAGTCTGTGAAATTTCTACTTCAGAAATGGATATATGGAAACAAAACAATCAGAAAATCTCTGAAATCATCATTACTAGTGCATAAGATTTAAAAAAAATACTCATAATATGATAACCATCTTTCTACGAAACAGACTTTTTATTCAAATTGTTTAAACATACGTGCGTCATAAAGGACTTCAGAGACAAAATGAGGATGGTGACTTAAAAATATCTTGACTATTTAGAACACACAAAAATGACGATTAATTGACATTAAAATGAAAATTGCTGCTGATGTTCAAACTTTTAAAATGCCTGTCTTAAAGAATAATTGATTCAGAATTACTTTTTATTAATAAAATTGTTTGATTTTGTGGATTTCATATAAAAATCTTTCGTTGGTACGGTCTTACTTTATATTGAAACGACATGTTTGCTGAAAACCCTGTATATAGCATTTTGAAGAAACATGTTTTCAAGTGTATCATAAAGTACAAAAAAATGTTTTAAGGGAGGGCCTATGTCCGAAAAGTCTTTGTGTGAATTTTTCAAAACTTTGGCATTTCTTTTCTGACCACTCCCTCTTAATTTTTAGGTCTTAAAAACAAAACCATTATTTTCTTATTTTTACACAGGAGCACGTGCAAAAACAGTGTAAAATGCTAAAAATAGATTATTTTCAAACATTGATGTTCTACTCCAAATATGCGCTAAAAAGACCCAAAGATGTCAAATCACATTCGAAATCAATATGTACCGTAAATCTGGAAATTTTTACGTCGATTTATTTTTGCGAATTTTGGTCAAAAAGCTGTTGATTAATTTTTACGCTTCAAATTTTTGCTGATTGTCACTGGTGCTTAAAATAAAAATCACTGTAGATTTTCATATCAGGTTAAGTGACATATAATATGCCCAGTTAGAATACCACCAATATACTCGAAACGTGGCAAGCGATTGCAAAATCGCTCCAAAACAATTTTGATAAAAATACAAAAGGATTTGCACTGAAAAAAATTCTAAATCAATTATAACAAACATTTTAGAGGTTGCCTTCTAACCTAAAGAATAATCCAAATGGAAAAAAATATAACTAATTTTCTCAACGTTTGTTTTTTTTTTTCTTACCTAAAATTTACACGCCGCGTTTACATTTGGAACTTTCTAGTAAATGCACTGAGTTTGAGTTATCGCCCGTGTTGATACACGGTTAGATAAAATGACAGTTCTAGATCTCTTTATTGGCAAATTAATTGATGAAAATAATTAAGAAGGGGCATGCCATCTCAGTGCTTGTCAAATCATCGGACGATATTGCATATAATGAGGGCAATTTACAAGCACGGGTAATTAACTAGTAGTTATATAGTAGACTAGTGTAAACAGGTTTCTTTTAAGGTATTCAATGTATAACGACCATATTTTGTACCTAATAAATGAACAGTCCAATATTTTTAATCATGGTAGCAATTTGAAGATATTATCAAATGAAAATGCTCCACCAAAGGAATTAACAAAATTTTGATTATTGTCCAATTAATATCACTTTGAATTTTACATTGAAGTCTATGGGCAGTGCATGTTTTTATAAGATATTGTAAAAAGTAATTTGAATTTCAAAGAAATCTCTTGGTGAAAATATGCATAAACTCCCTCTTTATTAAAATATAAAATAAAATAAATTATTTACCGCAGAAATTTTGTGAAATCAAAAATTATCTTCTTTTCATCAAGGGCAGATAACTCTTCAAAAACTGTAAATGTGCAAAATGACCGCCTTCTTACATGTTATAAGTCTTGTGAATTTGGTTTATTTCACTTTTATTGTTTTCTAGCTGTGTGCTTTTAACTAGTTAAAAATTATTTAAAATCAGTCAAAATCCCTTCATTATACATTGAATACCTTAAAAATGATCAGTGCTTACCGATGCCTATTCACTGAGTTAAAAAAAGACACGAGTTCTCAGAAAAAAATTCTTCACATGTTGATTTATTTTTAAGAAAAATATTTTTGCGAATGCAATGCATGCGCAAATTTGCTAAAAATTTATCTACAGTAAAAATTTCCAGATTTACGGTATTCAATTTATATGACTTGTTTCTTTAAAATGAAGGCAAATTCATTGAAATGTATTTCGCATGAAAAATTATAAAGGCGCACAATGTAAGAATCACCCCGTTTTTCTTGTCGTATTTTTTACAATTCTGACATGTATTACAGGTAATATCTAAAAAGTCTTTGTGTGAAAATGTCGTAAATCGTATTTTTTGAAAGAAACAATTCACCTCTTTATTTTAACAAAGAAAAAAGTATACCTTTATGATAAAATTATTGAGAAATATGACGTTTTCTTATATTTTCGTACTCTTGTGTCATACATTTTGACCTTTCTGCACTAAAATAAAGGTAAGTAAACACTGACAAACATCTGAATATAAAACTATTTTGCGAAAACGAGCATTTTGTTTTGATTTAGAAACCATTTAAACAGATCATTTCTTTTCTTCTTCATTCTAATCATTCTGCCCCCCCCCTCCCCCCCCCCCTGCATTTCCCTGTCAACAACCAACACCTAATATTAGAACCCAGGAATGACTTTATACAATAAAATCTACATGTACTACAAATCAATAAGCAAATATACATACAAGCACATTTCTAAATTTTTTCTTAGTTTTATCCAGAAAATAAAATTAATGGTAAACATAAAATTAAACATATTTCCCTGATATAAGCCGCTTTCTTTGCTGAATTCTATCTTGAATATTTTTGCACTTATATTTCAGCATATCATCGAGGTTTTTCTTCACAACTTAATTAAAATGCTATGAATTATCTACCAAAGGAAGAGAATTCTAATATTAACAAACTCCATATATCAAATAAGACTGTTATCAATGATTAATTAATAATTTTTTTTGTAAATTGTGTATATTATTGATTAATAACAATGTTATGCCTATATTACTAAAAGCAAAAGTCAACAGGTAAAAAACAAACGTCGCTATTGTGACGTCACATAACGCTGCTTTGACGTAGAACGACATAGGTCCCCCCTTAAGTGTTCCAAGATAATTTTTGTCTGGAACATAGTTATTGGAAAATCCTTGTTTCCCTCATGTTATTATGTAGGCAATTCAAATCAGATTTATAATCCAGTCCATATGAAGAAGTCGGCTAGTGATTAACTGAGTTTGTTTAATATAAATGAGTTTTATTATCCCTATTCAAATGTTTTTTATTTGGTTCAGATGGATGCCCTGAGTGGAATGGGGGAAATGGATCATACAAAATTCAGTACAGAAATGGAGAGTGCAATTCCACTTGCCAAGGGCATTTAAGTCTAGCTGAGTGGATAAAAAACTGCACCATATCACAGCCACCCTCAATAGGAGACAGCTGCTTTATAACAACAACTGGAGAAAATGGGTATACATGTATTATTTAATTTGTTTTATTCACGTAATCCAAGATTCGAAGATTCGAGGGTATTTAGTTGTTGTCCTTTCTATTCGTCTGTCTATCTATCTGTTTGTCCTTATCTAGAATTAACCTTCTCTAAAACTTTTCATAATATAGACCTACGACTTTCATATTTCTACTTGTGACAAAACCTTCTTCTAGATACAACATATATGATCTCCTGACCTTAGAGTGTGACCTAATCTTGCAAAAAATAACTAAAATTTTAACCTTGGACTTTTGAATAGTTAGTATTTGGGCATCATTGTGATAAGACCTTTCAGTGTGTTTAAATATTTTACCTTGATCTTATGGTCAATAGCTACACTTGAAAAACTTTAACCTTGGCTCTAACACTTTAACAGCTCGTGTTAGGGCTTTATAATATCACCTGTATTTTAAGTCTTACCAAGGGTATACCAGCATTTTATTTTAACCTTTGACCTTGGGCATAGAGTGTGACTTACACATTATAAACTTAACCATAACCTTTAAATGGTAAGTGCTTGGGCTTAACTTTTTTTATTTTATTCATTGAAGTTTATTCATTGAGAAAAGTCCTTACTTCGGGTATCAACATTTTTCATTTATTGACCTTGAAGTTTGATTGGCATTTGAGATATTTCACCTTTTGCTGACAGCTACCATACAAGGGTATTAGATTTTCACAATCAGGACTTGTTTTTTGCAAACTGTATGGCTGCAACTTATGGTCAAAAAGACACCACCATGTTAGTTTGTGGGGCTCTTGTTGGCTGTAATATGGGTTCAACGTTTTGTTGGAGATGTATTGAATGTAATACATTTTTTTCTGTGGATAATAAAAAACTTTTTAATATTAAATTTAATATGTATAAAGCTCTTAAAAGGTTAATATAATTGTGTAAATCAATATTTTTCTAATATTTATTCATAATATTGCTGACCTTCATTCATCACAAGTCTTCCATCAAAATGACAACGGCGTTTTGCAGTAAGATCTATATATGATCATAGCTGCAACTCAAATAATCATATTTGACCATGCCAATTGTTCTTTTTTTTAGATCTGATAATGGTGCAATAATGATTGCTAGTTTCTCAGTAGTTGCAGTAGGAGTAGTAGTAATAGTAGTACTTGTGATCCTTTGGAAAAAGAATGCATTGGTGAGTATACACATGGTACATACACTTAGATGTCCCATAAGGCTTAACAGACAACTTAATACATGGAAGGATATAGCAAATTGACAATTCTTTTTTTCCCTTTCTAAAATCAATTATAGAAATCCTATTATAGTTTTTTGATTTTTTATTGCAAAAGAAGTACACTATGTCAAAGGGTCAAACTGAAAAATTGTAGTAAAACTGTTACATTGTATGACTTTACAAGTTATGGAAGTATAAATTCATATTGTGTTGAGTACCACCTAATATTCCACTAGAAACGATCGTAAATTATTTTCAGGAGTTGCTTTCGAGTTTTGACCATCAGCAATTTAACATTGATATATACTACATTATAAAAATGATGTTTTCCATGTAGAAGGGCATAGAATATGTAAAAAGATTATACATTGACTGTCTTTAAGAGTTATTAAATATTGAAGTAATGCAATAATAATTTTTAATTGTAGCAAAGCATTCAAAGGTGATACTTACCACCTTTCTAACCGCATGCAATCTTTAAACAAACAATATTAAACAAAGTGTGGGGAAAATGCTTTATATGATAAGCTATTACTATGAAATTTGAATGGATTGTAAGTCTTTGATTCCAGCATTTCAAACGTAATTTAAAAAAACTACTTTGCAGCTTCAGATGGTCATCAAGATTCTAGTGGATGTCACAGACATATCGAAAAGAACAGGGTTCACTTTTGCCTTATTTGACCCTGTGAATTTCTGAAAAACTGAAACTGCATATTTTTCCTTAACAATGCATTGAATATCCCTTAGATCTTTGGTGACTGTGTATCTATTAAAAATTATGTACCGTAATTTTCTGGCCGCTCAATGCATTATGACGTCACAAAATGCGTCAATTTCCTCATACTGTATAGGGGAAAAATAACCCGCGGTGTTAATATTCGCTATATTCGCGGTGATAATGAATCCGTGAATTCAAGAAACAGTGAATAAGTTTTCAATAGGTATAGATAAGGGAGGAAATTTTTAATATATAACAATTCTGCGAATTCAAGAAACCGTGATTGTGCCAAAGAAGAGAAAAACGTGAAAATTACAACCCGTGAAATTAATCACTTATACAGTATTCTGAAAAAAAAACCTACAAAACGGCCAAATTTTAAAGCTATTTATCGATATTTAATATAGAGCGCAACCTCTGATCTAAAATTTGTAACTAGTAAATGATAGAACTGTTTCTGAGGATTAAAAGAAATGTTTTATTTATTAGATCAGAGAGTGCGCTCATATTATTTTTATTCATTGAAAGTACTCAATTATACCTGTTTACCTAAAAATTCAAGAACATTACAATTTCATAAAGCCAGTTTTTCAAGACCTGGACTTTTAGGAGAACATTTTCAATAGGATACGAAAGCACTAAGTCTCTATTATATTTTAATACGTCAAATGGAAAAATCAAGTGTTAGTCAATAAATTGCTATATCTACAGGGCTATTTTATGCATAAAGTAAACCAACTTCTTTATAAACTAATGAAGTAAAAAAAACCATAGGATTTCTTTGATTTGCACATTAGTCTGTTTATAAGCAAAGGCTGTTTTGGCCTGTTTTGAAATACATTGATGAAACAATGTGACATTTTTGATCATGAAGTTGTACTGTTATACATGTATAACTACCGTAAATCTGGAAATTTTTACGTCGATTTATTTTTGCGAATTTTGGTCAAAAAGCTGTTGATTAATTTTTACGCTTCAAATTTTTGCTGATTGTCACTGGTGCTTAAAATAAAAATCACTGTAGATTTTCATATCAGGTTATGTGACATATAATATGCCCAGTTAGAATACCACCAATATACTCGAAACGTGGCAAGCGATTGCAAAATCGCTCCAAAACAATTTTGATAAAAATACAAAAGGATTTGCACTGAAAAAAATTCTAAATCAATTATAACAAACATTTTAGAGGTTGCCTTCTAACCTAAAGAATAATCCAAATGGAAAAAAATATAACTAATTTTCTCAACGTTTGTTTTTTTTTTCTTACCTAAAATTTACACGCCGCGTTTACATTTGGAACTTTCTAGTAAATGCACTGAGTTTGAGTTATCGCCCGTGTTGATACACGGTTAGATAAAATGACAGTTCTAGATCTCTTTATTGGCAAATTAATTGATGAAAATAATTAAGAAGGGGCATGCCATCTCAGTGCTTGTCAAATCATCGGACGATATTGCATATAATGAGGGCAATTTACAAGCACGGGTAATTAACTAGTAGTTATATAGTAGACTAGTGTAAACAGGTTTCTTTTAAGGTATTCAATGTATAACGACCATATTTTGTACCTAATAAATGAACAGTCCAATATTTTTAATCATGGTAGCAATTTGAAGATATTATCAAATGAAAATGCTCCACCAAAGGAATTAACAAAATTTTGATTATTGTCCAATTAATATCACTTTGAATTTTACATTGAAGTCTATGGGCAGTGCATGTTTTTATAAGATATTGTAAAAAGTAATTTGAATTTCAAAGAAATCTCTTGGTGAAAATATGCATAAACTCCCTCTTTATTAAAATATAAAATAAAATAAATTATTTACCGCAGAAATTTTGTGAAATCAAAAATTATCTTCTTTTCATCAAGGGCAGATAACTCTTCAAAAACTGTAAATGTGCAAAATGACCGCCTTCTTACATGTTATAAGTCTTGTGAATTTGGTTTATTTCACTTTTATTGTTTTCTAGCTGTGTGCTTTTAACTAGTTTAAAATTATTTAAAATCGGTCAAAATCCCTTCGTTATACATTGAATACCTTAAAAATGATCAGTGCTTACCGATGCCTATTCACTGAGTTAAAAAAAGACACGAGTTCTCAGAAAAAAATTCTTCACATGTTGATTTATTTTTAAGAAAAATATTTTTGCGAATGCAATGCATGCGCAAATTTGCTAAAAATTTATCTACAGTAAAAATTTCCAGATTTACGGTAATGATTTTTAAATGGTAGAGGTTTAAGTATAAATTAATTCTTATTTTTACTTATTTTTTATTTAAGTGCTTCAAAAATATAGGACACAGTAAGAAAAATGAACCAGAAGGTGAACGACTTCGAGATATATAGAAAGTAGATGGTCTGATTAATATATGCTGTTCATGCAAAAGAACTTACGAGATGTAGTCTGGTACCAAATATTTCCAAGTTCTGAACTATCTGTTGTATCATGACGAAGTTAGATGAATTTCTGAATCAACAACATATTTTTATGATGGAAAAATAGTAAACACATAAGACATGTATCTTTCATTTTTTTAATAAATTTATTTTGTAGTATAGATGTTTTATTCGTTTTCCTACCTTTTTGTGTGACTCTCCTCACATGTTTAAAAGTGTACACTCAAGCCAAATGAGGCATACAACCCTCTTCAAACGTATTTTTTATGTCTATTAAAGTGACAATATGGCGCATCTCTTCGAAAACAGACTTATTAAAATTTTCCTATGGATTTGGAATTTTTTTTCATACTCATAAATGTATAGACTTTCTGAAAATTACAAATTTTATAAGTAAATAATTCTGAATAATTCATTAAAATTGATAATTATTTATGGTACATAAATATATACATGCTATACACGCATGCGTATTATATAGTTTTCATAAAAAAAACAGCATGGTAAGAAAGGGAAGCCCAGTCGGCCTGCTACATTGACAAAGTCGACCGAAACGAAAAACAAAACCAAAAATAGGGCTTGAAATTAAAAAGCAACTTTCCTTACAAAAATTTAGTTGGGAGATTAATATAATCATTGGATGAAGAAGAAACGTGACCTCGGCGACATTCAAGTGGGGCTCGCGAAGGTTCCACTCTACAGGTTTGTTGGTACATGCTATCATTTCTCGTATCTCCATGTCATTTAAAGAAAAAAAATCAGTGAAACCTCAACATAAAAATGCACTTATGACATTAAAAAAATTATTGCCATTGAAGTGCAAATTGTATTGGAACTGCAGAAAGATATTTGGTTTGACATTTTGCCGCGATGACGTATGATTTTGTGGATTTTCCTTTCCTGCACCCCAATACATAGCACGTCAACATTTGTACTTAACCATGTTAAATTCGTCCGAATGCAGATTAAAATGTTAACTATTATTAATTTACCGGAGAGTTAAGATATTTTGATTCTGAGAATTGCTTTTACCTAATATTCCCTAATTGTAAACCCCACACTGTATGCACGACGTGCCATTTTAGAATTCACGTGGTTCAAGTAAACAGATCTAAGTTCTACCACCCTTGATTTTCCGGCAGATTCTAATATTACGTTAATTTTTATGAGGAGAGAATATTCATTTTTCTGAAAATGCTTACTTTAACTTTTTACCTTATTACTGAAAGATATATTGGGTAAATTTGAATGAAAAAGCACACGATTTACAGCCGTATTGCCGTTGCTCAGGTAAGTTTGGTGTGGGGTGGAGCTCAATCAAAGCGGCTAAGAGGCCCCGAGGGAACGACGCTGGCTTGTGTATACTACCTATATACACAAGATGTTACCCAAGTGTATTACCTGTATGCATTTCCCTACGACATTGTAAACTACGACATTGTAAAACAAAGCTTTTTGTTTTTACATGTGTAGGTCAATTGAAATGGATGAAAGAAAAAAAAATTTGCGTACAGAATTAACCCGTCTCAAATTCTTTTTTTTTAAATTAAAACTTTTAATAAGTCAAAAATTTCAATATATTGAGTGTTTATAAGTCAAATAGTAAAAAAAAAATATAGCACCAAAACATGTCATTGTAATCTGGCAACAAAAAGGGATGCAATTAAAATTACGCGTCGAAAGAAGGAAGTGGGTCATAAATAAATCTCTCGATAAATAACAATTAAACTTTAAAACAATGTTTTGAGGATTAATTGTTAAGAAATATAGTTTAAATAAATAATTTTAAGATAAATCCTAGTACGTGATTTTTCCATAACGTGTGTTCTGTAAAAATGGCTAGGGCTTCGGACCGAAGATGATTCCCCGTCAGCTATGGCTGAAACATCATACATTTGAATAGTTGCAGCTCTGGCTCAAAATATTCAGATACCAAAGCCAAGGTTAAATTAATTCAATTTTGTTCAAATCAAATTCCCAAAGTTAAGGAAACCAGGTTAAAATTGTTGGTATCTAAAGAAATGTCTTGTCACAAGCTAGGATTGCATTTGTGAAATATGGATGTCTTTAAACCAGCCATTCAAACGTTTTGGCCAAAGAGAAAGTTTTTATGTACAGACAAACAGACCAAAAACTAAAGCTCATGAAATTTATAACCAAACATACTTTTGTTTTAACAAAATTTAATGCACATTTTTGAAGGAAAACATGTCTTCTCATGCTCCAGTAATTGAAGATTCAGGTGTATTTACTTGTTGCCCTGTCAGGACATCTGTCTGTCTGCAAAACTCTAACATGGCCCATACCTTTTGAATGGATAGGTACATATATGTAACAAGATTTTTTTTTTCAGGATACCAATAAACTTGACCTCATGACGTTCGTCTTGAACTTTGAACCCCTTTAATATATCCCCATTTTATCTTGATAATAACTTTTAAACAGTTAGAGCTATGTCTTTCATTCTCCACATGTGTATTTATTGTGTCAAGACCTTTCAATGGGTTTAAATATGAAATGGGTTGTTCTTAACTTTTACATATGAACTCTAAAGTTCTTTATAACTATTTATTAAATCTAATTACAAACGTATAAACAAGTCAACAGTTTATGTACAAAACCGTATTGGTCACCTTGTCAACATACAACATTTGGTCTCATGAGTGGTGGAAGGTACTAGTAGCTTAGTATAAAGTTATAGGTGTGTATAAGCAAAATGGAATTTAAATGGGAATAACTCTTAATACAAAGAGTGTTTTATCAGGTGTAAATATGTGGATATTAACAATAATTGACATTATTAAAGATTCTCTGTAATTTAATTGTTAGGAATTTGTAAGGAGTTCTGGGTGTCAGGAATTTGTAAAATGTCAGGATTCTAAGTTGCCAAGTTAGGAAAACAGTCTTAATGCTCAATAATAATTGAAACTTGTCTTTATAAAAATTATGACATTGGTTTTCAAAATCAATCATATTTAATAAGTTTAGAAATGGGCAAATGGTTGGTAGAGCTATCTGACAAAGCTGAAAAGCTGGCTTCCTTATATAGCTTTAGCATCTAGAAACTAACCAACCAAAATGTTTCATTTTCCTTACAATTCCCGAAAGGCATAAATTATTATGATTTAAACAATTATAAACAATTTTGTATTACCAAAATATCCTATAAACTACATATTTTCCATGAACTGTACAATAAATGAAAAGCTTACTCATTTAATCAACCATTTGGAACAAGGCACTAAATCTTGT